TTTCTTTCCTTTTCTTTTTTGTTATATAGCTCCACATAATTTGTAAATGTTTCTGTTGTTTCAATTCCTCGCCCAAATCTTGCTCAGGGTAATTACAAGATCTCGAGAAGAATCAAGCAATGGGAGATCTCAAGTGAGGCCGTTGCCAAGGCAACGATCATTTGGACGTGAAGGTCGTGAGCACCCTGATATTATTGCTGAAAGAGTCAAACAGTGGCGTGCCAGGTAGTATATTGCCATGAACATGATCTCACGTTTCTGAAATATGCATTTATCACAAGTGAAACCGAATGATTCGAAGATAATTTTTGATTCACACTGGTACATGTGTTTTCTTGTATGATAATTGGATTGTATGGTCTTTTATAGCATATACGAGCAGAGGTTGCAAGCTGTTCCCCTCTCTTCGAAGACATGTCTTGTTCAGGTACATGCAATTTGCTAAGGTTATTATCTTCAATTTCATGAAGAGATTATCAATACGCTAGACTGGAGATTGGTCATCTGACAAAATTAAACCCAATAGAAGTTCTTACCGGAGTTGAAAATGATTAATTTCCTTCCCCTTGGACCCTGATACCTGAAACAGGGTGTAGATTATTTAACAAAGCTATTAAATGGAGTTTCTTCTTCGCTTAGTACCAATTTTATCGAAATTGTGATGTAAAGTTGACGTGTTAGTAGATAAGAATGTTAGTGGAGACTGATACAAGTACTTGTTTAAAGAATTGCCTTTTATTTCAGTTATGAGTTAAACACGATTTTCTTTTTCAATTGATGTTCGGACCAAGGGTTCCTGTAAGGAGAGCAGGAATTGATGCAATACACTGAATTTAGTTAACCCATGGTGTTGCAATATATTGATGTAAATATTTTTAACTTCTCCCTAATCCATATTTTCAGAAAATGAAAGGGCATCATGGCATAAAACAAATAATACTTCAGAAAATAGAACCATGGATACAGAGGGAGCTGCAGGCTGTTCTTGGGGATCCAGATCCCACAATCATTGTACATGTTGCCACCTCGATTTTCATCTCAAGACATGAAAAGAAGCATGAAGGCTTTCCAGAACAAGTGGGCATTGAAGATGATTTTCTCGCACCTCTGCGGCAATTTCTTCATGAGCAAACAGATATGTTTTGGCATGAACTTGGGTAAATTATCTGCACAATATCTGTTCCATCTTTATTCAGTACTTCTAAACTATCTTGAAGACTGAATCTATCTCATCTTACTATACCCTCAGACAAGTGGCCCATTTGATAGACATTTTTATCGTGATTGAGGTATCTAAATAAACTTAGCATATACGGTATGTTAGAAAATAAATAGGAAGTTATCCTGAATCAAATCTACGAGAGATTATCACTCACTCTTGAACAGATCTATGATAACTGACCCAAAATAGCCTTCCATTAGGGTATATGTTGGCTGTGTTTCATTTGTTTATTATTTTCCCTTTCCACTCCGTTCTGTGTTTTGTCTCTTTCTTTTTCTTGGGGAGGGGGACAGTAGGTTGAGTGTATCTGAGTTTTTTTTCTTCTGCTTATATATACTTTCTTATAGAAAAAGATCCAATACATTTTTGCAGATGTTTTGCAGAGAGCTCTTTCTCGATGGAAACATATGATACTGTGGTAGAATACAAAGCATTGGACTAAGAATGGTGGAATTCCGCACAAGACTCCCTGATTCTACTTCAATGGAGGCTATCAGTTTGTGCAGAGGTTTATGCTTTGTTCAACGTAAAAGGCTGCAGAATACAACGTTGTTGTTGGAGAAGACTCTCAGGGTTTGGAGCTAACCAAATATCCAATACAGAAAAAAGATTGAAGCCATTAGCCACAATGAAAATAGCTGAAGATTTTCTATTCATGATTGAAGCATAAATCAAGATGAGGCAACAATGCATGGATAAATACTGCTTTGGACCGAACTCAGTAATCCCTTGATTCTGGATCAGAGATGCTAACAGGGTGGCTATCGAAATGGGGACCTCTCCACTTGGGGCTCCAAATGAGTGACGCTGAGTGTTGAAGGTTGACTACATTGATGGGAATTTCCACATTCATCTGTACGAGAGCTTCATGGGGTTTGGTTAAAATTGACATTTAGTCTTACTGGAGATCATGTTTTGCTAAGCTTATAAGTTACTTTTCTTTTATAGTTCTTGATGTGTACTTCTACAAAAAGAGTTCAAAATTAAGGATCAAATTTATACGGGTATATATGCTTATAAGCAACTTTTCTTTAATAGTCCATATCATTCCTTACACCAGTTTGGTGGCCATATAATTTTGAGTTTTGCTAGGTGTACATCCGAGGTACCTCGGATGACAGCCCCCTTACAAGAGGGGAGAGTCAGCGGTTTTTTTAATTCATGTGACCCTCCTCTTGTGAGGGGGATGTACGGGGTCAACGAGCAGAACAGTATGATTTTTGGTCAAGATTGATTTACTCCCTACTCCTCCAAAAAGAGTACAAAACACAAAATAAACTAAATAGGGTATAATATCGTTCAAAGAAATTTTACTCTTTGTTTACCTTTTTCTTTTTCAATATTTTTTGGTAATTTATTATAGGAAATTTAGGGCTCAACCTTCAACCTTTTTTTTGATCGGTAAATGTAAATTATATTGATCAAAAATTATATACTAGTACACCGGGCATATCCGAGAAATCAAATATCAAGTGCGCATACAAGTATACTGGGCAACCAAAATGAAAAGATGTACAAACGACTAGATCTAACGACCTAATGTCATAGATTCAAAATGAATCAAAACATGCGGATACAAAGAAAACATAACTTTGTATACGTGTGTGTTAATCTGTCTAACAATCCTATCAACTTGCGGTCTTAGATCCTTAAAAAATTTTCTGTTCGGTAAACGGTGCTCGCAAGTGCAATTCGCTTCGCCTTACTTTGCCAAGATGTGCCTCCTTTTTAATCCACTTCAATACACTATATAGTGTAGACATAGAGCATCTAATGCCAAGCCACGCACGGACCTTCCCCCATACAGATGCACTGAACTGACATTTGAAAAAACGGTGTTCCGTCTCCACCATAACTCCACAAAAACTGCAATTGCGATCTATCTCCAAGTGCCTTAGTTTGTCCTTAGTTAACAACTTGGATTTAACTCCAAGCGGACCAAGCCACAGAACAAAAGCATGCTTAGAGGTGACGGAAGCGTTCCAAACAGTTGCTGCCCAGGCTGCCTTCGGCCCCTTCAGTCTGAAATATTCATAGGCTGCCGCAATGCTAAAGCTGCCTGAGGCTGTCCAGTTAGCCAGCCTGCCTGTTGAGGCCAGAACAGTGTGTTCAGGCTGTGAAATCTGACCATGAATTTCCAGCAGCCTTTTAATCAGTGGAGAGTCTTCTTTCCTCGCCGAATACTCCCAAATGGCTGTGAAAAATCTGATTTACCCAAAGCGCGTCCTTGCTATGAATGTTCCAAAGAGTTTTAGCAAGGAGTGCCGCATTCCAACATTTAATAGCTCTAAATCTAAGCCATCCCTCATGTTTTGGCAAACAAATATTACTCCTAGCAACTAATGGCTTCTTAGATCCCTAATGAAAGTTACGACAAAGACTAACAATCTTTGATGCGACCGTGGACGGAATAGGAAGAATGGAAAGCCAAAAACATTTGACACCTTGAAGAATGGTTCTCACTAGTTCCGTTCTCCCCGCATAAGACAAAGAAACCCTTGACCATGCTCCAATGTAGGTCGAGATTTTGTTGATAAAGGAGTCATAGGAGCTAACTTTCAATCTTACCGACGCAAGTGGTACTCCCAAATAACGAAATGGCATAAAACCCTTGGCCATATTAGTTAATTGGTGAATATCCTCCAACTCTTGTCCATGTACTCCCTCCGTATACAAGTTGGACTTGTTCACATTCATCCTTAATCCCGACATGTCTCCAAAATTGGACAAGCACTTCATCAAGATACCAACCGAGATAATATCCCCCCTAGCAAATAACATCGAGGCATCCGCAAATGCTAAATAAGTTATCTTCAATTGGCCACATTTAGGATGATAATTAAACTCGCTATCATCGGTTGCTCCCTTAAGCATTCTTGAGAAATATTCAAGGCAAATAACAAACAAAAAAGGTGATAAAGGGTCACCTTGACGAAGCCCCCTCCTCCCCTTAATGAAACCATAAGGGCCACTGTTAAGCGCAATGGAATAAGTAGGCGTGGTTATGCATTCCATCACCCATCCAATGAACTTTGTTGGAAAACCAAGACCTTCAAGCACACTACTAAGGAAATCCCAATTAACTGAATCATATGCCTTCCTAAGATCAATCTTGAGAAGACATCTAGGAGCAACTCTTTTGCGGTTGTATTGCCTTAGGAGCTCTTGAGCTAGATGGATGTTTTGCCCAATTCAGGGTGGTCTGACTATGTTTGTTTATATTGTCTTCTCAGAGCTAGAAACAAAATAAAAATAAAAATCATGCTAGATATATTTAATGAGAAGCAACAAAAGAATGCTAAAGCAGGCACAATTCCGAGCTTCTATAAAAGGGTATAGATTTCTTGAACGACATTTTTCAGAATATAGTATCCAGTATGGTTGTCGAACAGAGAGGCCATTGGTTACCCACTCCTATCTGGTTTAGTTGTTTTGTTAAGAGATATTTTGACATAAAAATTTGTAGAGCATTCCCTTTTTAACTTGCTTTTATGCATTGATATTTGGGGTCAGCTGCATTGTTTCTTCAACTTCAATTTCTGTTTCTTGCTATTCAGTAAACTGAAGAAGGATCCATAAGTCAAAGGGTCCAGAGGCTGGCAAAATTTCGATTTTTAAAGGTACTCGTGTGATTTTCTATCCTTTTTTTTTCTTGCTGATATTGTCATCTTAATATCCTTTTAGTAGAGCATCTGAGTTTAGTATTTTTTCTTTTTCCTTTTAAAATTTACCTTTTCGTATCACTTCAGGATTCATTTTTCAACTCATATCATTGCAGATGTATCGGTTGATACTTAAAACAACAAGTGCTATTACTTTTCTTGCTCAGAAGCAAACCGATATTTTGCTAAATGCTGATGATCTGGATGCTATGTATGTTTGCCTGAGGGAAAATTGTGTCATTGATGATTCAACTGGTGCTGTAAAGGTCAGTGATTGAGCTAAATTTCCTTTGAGGTGTGCTAAAGACATTGAATTTGTCCAGTTACAGTGGTTTTAGATAAAAGTGGCTGCTCTGTCAGTAACTTATGATGGAAGTCATAGTTGCATGTGCAATGCAATATTCTACTGAACATTAGATGCTCACATAGTAACACAGACAATCTAGAGAGCAACTTATTAGATTATAACAGTTGATTAGCCTTCTTTACAACTTGTGTATCAGTTTATGTTTTCTTAACTTATTTCTAATGAGTAATTAATATATGTACCAAAACCATGAGTTGTCCATATACGTGATTTTATGGTCATTTTAGCAATATTGCATATCATTCAAGGAATTAGCGGAAGACAGTAGATACATTAAATGTCCTTCTGTGTGTAAAAAGCGTGTTACTCTCTGTTTTCTGCGGGTGGCAGGTTATTTCACTTGCCTTTCAACTGGTTTCTCTTTTTCCTTAAGAAACTCTTTTAACTTCATCTTATGAAATGCTTTTCATGTACACCAGGCTGTTACTTTAGATTATTATCACAGGGAAACTAGAGTGTGGAGAACTTTACCAGCACAACTTTGAATTGCCTTACGCCTTGACATTTATGACAGTAGTTTCACAGAAAGATGTGCTTTGAACTATAAATATGAGATCCGTTGACTACAAAAAGAATGATAATTTCAATATACTCTGTAGTGTTCTTTTTCTCAATTGCTTTGAAATAACTTCCGGAACGTTTTTAGTTGTTTATGCCTATTATATCCCACAAAGTTATTATTCAAGGAAAAGCATCCAACGTGTCCTTCTGTTGGTTTTATTCTCTAGAAGATCTTATTGAATTGGTCTATAATATTAGTTTCAGCCGTAGTATCCTGCTTTATGAAATGTCGATTAATTTAGTTCACAACATACACATTTTTATGCCTTGTATACTTCTGTGAATGTAGTTATGCTGAAATGCATTTTGTTTGCTGTCTTTTAGATGAATTATGAAGACTTTTGCCACATTGCCTCTGTGTGTACAGAGCAAATAGGGCCTAAATGTAGATGCTTTTTCAGTCCTTCAAATTTCATGAAGTTTGAGAAAGATGAATCAGGGAGAATTGCCATCCTACCTTTCTATCTTTATGTGATGCACACGGTGGGTGCTGCTGCTCCTTTCATACAGAATGCTGAACCTCCTCCCCTCATGCGTCATATTTTTGGGCTTGATAATTGTCTGATTTCAACACTAGTTTGTAGTTTTAAATTACTCAGTTAGTAATATGTGCTGGCTGTGAATCACTTTGTTATTACATATTAAATGAGTGTCGCCATGATTTATTCTCCTCAAAGATTAAGTCACCTTAAAATGACGTTCTTTCCCATTTTGTCATCACAAGATGGTCATATAACATTGACACTTAATGTTTGTATAAAATAAAAGACATAAGAAAATTAAGCAAGAATCAGACAAATAATTGGATTTGGTCTTGGATGTCTATGAACAACAATTCATTACATTTTTTGTACACTGTACTTGGAAAAGATTTGAGTCTTCAAAAACACCACAGTAAAGTATCCACTGACCATACAATTTTAAGGTAATCCGTGCTTCAGAAGATAGTGGTCTCATGGTCTGTTTATGTTGGCTGACAGTACTGTCATCCACATAATTCGTTGATTTCTCTTTCAAATGTTGTATTCTTTTGTTTCGTCTTCAGGTTTCACTTACCCAAGCCAGGATTGATATGAGTGAGCTCGATGAAGATTCTGATGGGTTCCTTCAACCTCATGTATGGTCTTTTCACTTCTCCGCCCGTTCGCCTGCGAAATGGAGTTTAACTTTGGTTTTCTTGGTTATAAAGCAGTGTGATTTGATTATCTTGTTTGTGCTGAAAATATTCGTTGGAACAGGAGATGGAAAACTATATAAAAGTTCTTATTCCTAATTTGGCACAACTCCATGACATGCCTGCAGCGTTTGAGAAAACGTACTGTTGCATAGCTACACACAAGTTTTTTTCTTCTGCGATCCCCACAAACGAGGTTGGTCTACAAATCTCTCTTAATTGCCAAAATGATTTCATATGGTTGCATTTAAACTTTCTTATGTGATGAATATTTTAATGTACCTTTTTTCTTTCTTATCCTTTGGTAAGTCTAATCCCAATATTTGTTCATTGTTTCTTATCCACGTCTTCCATATGTTGTGCTCTGCGTGGGTACTTCCACTTGTTGGTATATTTTTTCTGTATGGCCACACATTTCATAACATCCTCATTTGCAAATATTTAGGTTTTTAACGATGAACACCCACTACCATAAAGCGTAAATTGTCTAATAACCAATCTAGGGAACTCGCCTTTTGCCTTGAACGTATCTTAGTCTGGCACAGAATCCCAGTAAGAGTTTTTAATTTCATCCCACCCGCTCTAGTTTTATGCATTATTTATAGAATCATTTGTCTCATAAGATGTGGCAAAGTTCACGCACGTTGTCAACCTACTGCAACCTTCCCCCTTTTTGTCTATGCTTAGGACCTGTGATAAAGAAATATAGGCACTGTGCACTTTTGGAAATATTAATTATTTTCGTTTGTCTATTTACTCGTTTCATTGTTATTATCCTACTTTACAATTTAGTTTGAAAATTGTTGTGTTTAACAGAAAAGGCGTGCATAAAGAAAATGCTACTCAGTAATCGTCTCCGGGACCTGATGGAACTACACCAGGTAATTTAGTTCCATAGTTTTAGTCTTGTCAACGGGCTCTAGATATAAATGTGAGTAATAATTCTCTATGCTGTGATATGGTATCTGTAATGTGTCCATTCTTTCTTTTTTTCCTTTAGTTGTCCCCACTTTTTTGAGAATCCGACTTGTCAATGTGTTATATCCGCCTGTGCCTTGATTCTGCTGATTGTAATAGTTTTAAGTTACAAATCTAAGCCCTTTTGCTAGTAAACTGTGTTTGTTGAACTAAGCCCATGTTTGACGTTGCTTATAATGACTTATAATTTGGTCGAACTTTAGTTTTTTCTACCCATTTCGTAGGACACATAACTTCTACATATTTTTTAACCTCACATTCTTTGTGGCCCACTTCTTATAATCTATTATAAGCAATGACAAACACAGGCTAATTGATTTTCTTTGAAGTTCTCATCAGGTTCATTTTAAATGTTTATTTATGAGCATAAATGCTATAGCTTCATGATGCATTATCATTATTTGCTCGGGAGTGAGGAGATTACATTTTTTATTTACCTTTCACTTATGTTAGGAAAGCGAGGAAGAAGTCACCGACACTGAACTAGCCGAAAATTGGTTTTCACTGACATCTGCACAATGCATATGTGGTTAGTACTTTGACTGAACTATGCGATAATTTTCATATCTTTTTTATGTTTTTTATTGACTTATACTTCAAAAGTTGCTTTCTTGTATGAGTTCCATATTGTCTTAACCAACTTCCAGTTTCACTCTCCCTCGAATGATCAAAAAATTGATATATTGGTAACTCTTGTAATTCATTGTTCCTTTTTTTTTGGTGGGCGATGGGCTGTCTTGATTCTCTATGTATGACATATATGAGAAATGAATAATGCTATTTAGTCACTGGTGTCGGTCTAAATAATGCTAAGTGAACTATTAAGTGATTTATTTAATTATACCTCTCATTTAATATCACATTAGTGCCATCTAGATTGAGGTTTTAACACCGGTGATGCTAAATAACATTACTCATTAAAAATATTAAACCAATTTTGATTTTAATTTAGCTTTTCACTGCTGCTCTCACAATCTTTATAATTTAACAAGTAATGTAAATGTGAAGATATGTTTCTTGCTCTTGATAAAGATATGAATGGAACATTGATCAAACAGGAGCTGCGAGAATATACGGATAGAACATTGGCAGCTATTTTCATCGAGAGAGGTAGAAACTGACTCTGTGTGTGTGTGTGGGTGGGGGGAGGGGAGTGGGGGAGGGTGGGGGTGGGGGAGTATGTATTTTAATCATTCAATAATTCTTATTCAGTTTCTTTTAAGCTGCACAGGTTTTGCCAATGTTCATTTTCCTTGCATGTTTGCTCTTGTTTATTTAGGAGTATCATTTGCAAAACCGTTTCACATTGCTTTCTGATACCTTATCAAGATTTTCTACGAATTGTTGCATTAGGTAGAGCTTGATTGGTATTTTGTTTGAAATGAACTGAGCTTTGACTGCCAATTGCCTTTAGTAAAGAAACTCGGTAAAAAAAAAAAAAAAAAAGTTAATATAGCTGATAACTCCTCCCTAATGAGGTCCATTTGTCTGTATATCATCCTCTAAGTTCCAACTAAAGCGAATGCTG